GTCGTCTGTTGACAACGCTAGTCCAACATGAGCAGCTTTGAGGGCACCACAGTCGTTTTCTCCATCTCCACACATAGCGACACAAGCGCCGTGTCGAGTCATTAATGTCTCGATGATCCAAGTCTTTTGATCTGATCGCACACGTGCAAACACTTTGGTTCTACCCACGAGCTCATAAGCAAAATTCGACCAAGATTTCGTTGACGGATTTACTGATACGTTTTCTTTAGATTCATTTTCGACCAAAATGCTCAATTGCAGCACCAGTCAGAGCGAGTAAACAACCTTCAGCAAGAGAGAGAAACAAGTGTCTATCGACAGTGTTCCAAGTTTCGCTTGAAATGTTTTGAGTCGCGTTGTCTCGAGTGCTTTGAGCCAACTCATCAACATCTGCGTAAACTACAACCATTCTGTCCTGTTGTGTGTGCGCATCACTCAGAAGAACAGACGAGTGCATGCCCATATTGGTTTTGCGCACAACGTGAATCTCTGTGAGCACATCGTCCCCAGTAATGATGCGTACGTCAACACCAGCTTCCTCCAGTGCTCCAACAGCGTATGGAGCTTCAGCTTTCACTTAATTTACAAAAGCTACCGAGTTTTCAACATCATCTCGAGCCACGAGTTGATCTTTGGACAAGAAAGTACCTTAGTCGCAAGCGCCACGACATAGAGACCTTGGTGTGCATACGAACGTGCACGTGCTATATCTTATTTGGAAGTGTATCGGGTGTACATATCTTGTGGATTGCCTCAGGTGAGCCCTATGACGTAAGCATATCGATTGCCATTGTCAACATCTTCTACCACTACCAGAGATCGCTGACGTGTTGCGTCAAATGGAAAGCGCGCGACTATTCCAAAGCGTTTACCAATTGGAGAGACCACGAGTGCTGCAAATTGCCAAAAGTTCGTCGATTTCTCTGATGTCTCTGATTCAATCGAATAGCCAGTGGCACGGAACATGTCCATTTCCAATGCATAGCCTCTAATTTGACCGGAAGGATCCGTATGACCAACAATGGTAGGAGGTGACAATACTTCGACCTCGCGTTGGAGTCCATTAAAAGCAGGTTGTTGCTTCTAGCTTCTGGTTGCATCCGAAATTGCTGCAGAACACTCGTCTACACCGTAATAGTTAAGGTGATTACCAGATAGCGTTCCATCGCCTTGACTTTCCAAACGTGACAAAGCGAATTCAACTCCTGCTGTCAGTACGACAGGAAGAGCTGGCAGAACAGCAATTCGATGTAAACTGCACAGTATTCTTACCTACTGTGGCCAACTTTAGCTACGGCAATGCTGAACATATTTAGCAGTGTTGCTCGCATCTAGAGTATGAGCAAGACAAAGGACTCACTGCATCATGCCACTACAGTGCATGCATCTCCTCTATACGTGAGGTGTATTTGGCCGAAAAATAAATCTTTTGCCAGCATAATGTAGAGATGTATTGTTTTTATGATGAATATTTTTAGGCAACGCTTATGCTTATACTAAGACAGGAATGTTGCACAGTAGAACTTTTAACTCGAAAATCCTGCGTCTACAGCGCACTAACGTTGAGTTTGTACGCCCCGCAACCAATAGTAACTTAGTACTAATTTTGCTTTTTTAAATGTAGGATCAGTTCTATCTGGACTAAGACTACACACTTCTATCACGGACTCCATTATCTTCAGTAGTACTGTTACTATGATTTTTTCAATGCACAAAGTCCAAGGTAAATTTCGTACAATTGTCAAATATTGTATCTGCAAAATGACGCCGAAGTGTCAGATGTATGTACACAACCCCCGTAACGAGCAT